GGTCTATTAACCGACAGTTGACTTCTGACTTCAAACTACCTTCACTTCACTGTATGTCATATTCATCTACTGTCGCGGTACTCATCTCACCTTTTTTCTACCTTTGTGTCTTCTCTTTTACATCTTTGAAAATCTTTTGCCCCCGCCACATAGACTTTTTTCACTCTGATGTTCCTTCCCCTCTATGAAGCCTGAAGTCAACTAAAGGGCTAATGATAACTATCAAAACGCCTGCCATTTGATATAAATAAATATTTATCCATTTGAAATGTCCTTCAAACGCTTTGCTCGCGGTCTTGTTAGTAAATTTACATGCCTAGTTTTTCTATTAAATTTTAATTATTTATTTATAAAACGTCACAACTGACTACTTAATGCCTATGTGAAATTAGAGTTGTGGCAATTTTACCAAAAAACAGAAACTACTAACAGATTAATTATCAATACTAGTATGTTGCAAAAAAAGGAGCATTAATTTTGTACACTCACTCCACCTGCCCCCCGGGGGGGGGGGGTAATTTTTATTGCCCTGCTGCTAATTCCAGCGGACTTTAAGTAACAAGATGACTTAAAAGGTGCTTCCTGTTGAGCGAAATGACCTCGCTCAACATGCTCACGCAGATCGCTATGCGGCAACAGGAGAAAGTGAGGGCTTTTTCAACTGTGAAGAAAACTGCGCCTTCACTTTTCAGAAGTGAGAAAAAGGCGTCTCAAGAGTAATTCATACAAATAATGATTTCATCAATTAATGCCTTGGCAAAACTTCTCACTCCTTTAAGTGTTTAATACACTAAAACCTCATCTATTGAGAATGGCATATCATGCACATCGATTTTCGCCATTTTCTCTTAAATTGAATTTGAATTGTGCGCCAACGAAATGAACCGAAATGAACTAATAATATTTCATTCGCGTTGTGAATACATTTCTAATTCATCATTTCACAAAATGAAACAGCATTTCCATTTTTTCCTTAATTTTACTTTTCCTTTCACAAATTAAAGACTGAGGCTGAAATTGCACAGAATTAAGGCAATTGGGTTTACATTAAGCATCTCTGAAGAACTTGCAGAATCAATTTGATGCCATAAAACGAGGCAAAACCAATCGAAACATCAGAAATGGGAAAATGAAGACGGAAATATTTACAGTAATTATTTGACATACTTTCGGAGTTATATTTTCATGAGAGAGAGAGAGAGAGATATGATATATTGCGCTGCTGAAGTTTAAACATTTAAATGAAGATTTTCTTTTAACTTTCGAAATTTTTAAGAAAAGGTAGTATCTTCTCGTCGAGCATGGTTCTTTGTGTCTATCGAACTCACTTCCTAAAGGTCTCTAAACATCCATGCCGGTTAATTTTTTTATCTTTTAGTTAAGCCGACTTCTTCCTTGGCAGGCTAGTTCCAACAAACCAAGTCTTTCTGTTAAAGTCGTTTTGTTTGCACCCCATTCTGATGCCTTCTTTCCATGACACCTCACCAACCTTCCCTGATAGTCAACGACAAAAGCTCATAACTAATCGTAGATAAAAGTAAAACCATTCGAAATACTTTAAGAATTTGAGAGTCAATGAAAGAGCTTTAAACACACTTTTTCTCAAAATATTTAAAGAAGATAAGGATTTCAGAAAATAGATAGCCTTGAAATACTTCGATTTTCAATAAGGGAGATAATATTTTTCTGCGAATTGCAAATGACTAAATGGCATAAACAAAACCGAGTCATTTTAATAGCAAAATCTTTCAATATCTAATTTGGCCAATTTAATATAATACTTGTTTATTTACCATAGTAAGTATAAACTAAGTTCGTTGATTGAAATGGTAAATTCTTGAATAACTAATTGCCATAGCAACTCACTTAATGCTATAACATTTGCACAAGTGTTATTTCAATGAATCACTCTCTCTCCTCCCTTTTTTCCCCTACTTAAAACCCGCCTTTCTTTCTATTCATTTCAAAGACCACGGCCTGTACTTTCTACCCAATTGGTCCAATCCATTTGTCTTACATATTCATTAATCCGAATGCGCATACATATAGTCAGCCAGTCTAAGATCTGAAGGATTGAAAAATTGGTTCAGTTGGATTTCATGAAACGCAGCGGAGGGAAATTTAAACCGACAGAGAGGAAGAGAGAGAGAGAGAGTGGGAGAAGAGAGCGAGGCGTTGACTCATTGTTCGGGGTGGGGTGGGGGGGGGGGGGGGGGGGGGGGGGAGCCAATTCCCACTCTGCAGAGAGGGTAGGAGGGTGGGGGGTGGGGAGAGAGATAGAATGCAACAGCTGCTTTCTCTTTTGTTGCTTTCCTTCTCTTCCCAACTTTGAAGCATTCATATCTCTTCATGAAATTTAATGCAATTGTTTAACGCGCACATTTGAAGCCTGGTACTGGACACCATTTTTTTGGTAAAATTATGCTACGATTTAAATTTAATTTAAGGAAGTGGGCTTTAGCTAATACAAGCCAAGATTAAATCTAAATGTTACTATTGAGGCATTAGAAGTCATTATTTAAGCTTACAAAAAGGCCTAGTGTGACATTTCAATTTATGAAGAGTACATTTTCGTACTTGTATTTGTACAATCTTAAAGTGGAATCGGATTAACTCTCAACTCATTTACCTCATCGCCTGACTGTCATATGGTTAATATGTGAAAATACTACAATCTTACATCCAATTCTGTCGCACTCTCAACTTTCATATCATGTCCCAGTTTCCGTACACTGTGAGACCGTCTTTAAATTTTATTTGTCATCTCCTTCACTACCACGAAGGACACACTTGCACTTACGTTTCGATAAATGAGATTATCTAAAGGTAGCCAATGGGAAGACCTTCAATTTGCAAAAAAATGATTTATCTTAACCATTCTATACCTCTTATGACCCTGACTCTAAAATTGAGGTTGGTGTATTCATTTACCGTTTTTCTCCTGATTTTAAGAACATAACTAGATGTCATTTTTTCAAGACAGTTTATAGAGCTATCCACAATATGCTGCAAAATGACAGCTGGTGGAGATTTTAATATGATTGGTCGAAGCTTTCAATTTCCTGCTCACATCACTAATGCTACAAATGTGCTTAATTTTCCGAAAGTTCTTTTGGTTAATAATTACACGGCAAATGTAAATATCCAAGATATAATACAACCAATAAATAGAAGTGGATAAACAATCATTTTGTGAAGAAAACGTAAGTAAAAATCTTTCTGACGCAATCTGGGCCTGTTTACTTTTTGAAAGCTAAGTGAAATATAACTTAAATAAATTTAGGTGGTAAGACAAGCTGATCATTAAGACAATTCTATGAAAATTCATACTGCCCAATTCTTGCAGAATTCAGCGGGGAACAAATTTTGATCCTAGAGCTTTTAGTACACATGCCACGATCCCATCCCAGGTACAAACCATATTGAACTCACTTGTTATTTCAATCATTTAACTAATTTTCAAGGATTGCACATTTTCAGAGCTACTGTGAGTGAAAATAAGAAAATTCGACATTTTTGCTGGGAAATTTGTTGATTTTTTGCCACATGTTGGCAAAATTGGTAAACAAAAATCAGCCAAGTTCTTCAAAGTAACTTTTAGTCGATTTGATAACTTTAATGAAGCCAAAATGTTTATTTCTGGAAGCAAGGATGATTAGAATGTCATCTGTCTTTCTTGAGCTTACATCAGGATACATATATGTATTTCACACTGAACAAATGAAATTAACAAATGTTATCTAAAATGCAAATGTTCATTAATCTAATTTTCTAGAACTAATTGGGAATTGTAAATGAAGAGTTCTGCTTAACCATTTAACTCGTCATTACCATTTATAAAGTTAGTTTATTTATGGTTTACTTATCTGTACTAATATTGACGTTTAGGAAATTAAAACACAATTAAGATCAAATACATATCAATCGATAATTTAAATATAGATTCTCAAAAGGTAGTAAATTAGGACTATAAAGACCTAGTTTGTTCAATTGCTATGTAAAGTAATCAAATGAATTTGACTGTTTACAGGGCAGAATAAGATTAAATTGTAGTTTTGAGGAAAACTAATTTAAGGAAATATTTAATTGCATGAAACCAAAGGCAGAAAATCGATATGGACTTATTTTGCCTCAAACTGCGTTGTAAATGCATTTGAACACTTTTCCCCCACTTACGTTGAAAGGCGGTTATTGGGATCAGCAAACACTCTGGCAATGTTGGCTTGTTTGCCAGCTAGGCTTGACAGACCGGATTGAGTCATCGAAAGTGGCGGCGAACCGGGTTTAACTTCCTGTGACCTTTTGGGACGCGAAGCGAAGCTGGCTCGAAGAAAGCGCTGTCAATCAAAAGAAATAAAAAAAATTTAATGAAATATCCCATATGGTGTCAATTATTTTATATTAAGCGAATGTTATGCGCTCCATAGTAAAAAGCCTGTTGAACCAATGGAAATTCGGCAATAGTCGCTGTACTCACCGTTAGGAGGAAGATGAAAGTTGATTATCCTACCAAAATATATTTTTGCTTTATATTGCTGATGGAATAATAATCATGACTATCATTTTTCCCAATTCAATACGGATTTCACAATGTCCGAACGCTTAAACGAAAAGCTACAACGAAAGCTCCACCTTGAAGGCTGCATCCACTTATTTTTACAAAACATTCTGCCTGTTGACATTACCTCCACACCCTTATTAATATCTTACTTAGTTCTTGTCATTTCGAAAACTGGGTCACCATTTATTTCATTTTGGGGGGGGGGGGGGGGGGGGGAGGATGGGTTATAATTGGTTAAAGTTGCCACGGGGTTTACAAAGAAATCGTAGCCCAGACAGCTAGCATTTTCGCCCATGTACACGTTGGCAAAATTTGAACTCAAGAGACGCATACGCCCATCGATGAGTCATCTACATCTCTTGAAAAGCGTCGCTAATCCATTTTTAAGAGGATAGAGAGGGATTCCTTGCCCCATGCGTTTTCTGCCTGCATGCTTCGACTTAACCTTGCCATTCACTCTGAAGTTGAAACATGACAGCTCGGATAAATGCATCCATTGTAAAAATAAATGAAGTGAAATGGACTTATTTCTGCATGAAATTGCATCCTATTTTTATGGAAAAAAATGGGATCTTATCTAGGGACAGAAGTAAAGATAATCTAATTAAAGTTGACACTTATCATTACTCGAGAGAGGAAGTTGAACTAATTGAGACTCATGCCAATTGTGTTGTGCTTTTTATAGATTTTATTTTGTTTATTTCCTCTTAGGATTCTAACTAGGTCTGATGTCAAATATGATGAATATGTAATAGTTAGAAGCCAGGCATTCAACTAGAAGTATAATAATGTGATAAGTAATCGAATTAAATAATTAAAAGTTGAAGTAAGGTTAGACCTCACTGTGTTACCTATATGCACTATGGTTATAAGAAGAGATAGGTGCCACATATCAATTTGAAATGATCTATTGTTCAAGAATCTTAGAATCTTTATCATGTACATTGATTTCTAAATCAATATTCAAAGATGTTCCGGTGCCTTTAGCTTCGTGATATTCATTAATTGTAAGTGATAATAAATAGTTTTGCTTCATTCTGGGCTATTAGGCAAAAAATTCAATGAGTTCAGTTTCTTTCAAAAAAGTTATTCATCATCTTCGGCCACCATAACTTGTATGAAAGTTTAACTCATGAAGTTAAAAAATTATTGAACAATTCACGAATATACGTCTTTGCTCAGAAAAGGTAAGTTAACAAAAACTTTATTTTCAGTTAATAAATTCGCTAAAAGGATAAATTAATGGAAACTCAGTGAGAGCAATGTGGACAAGTAGCAAAAAAGCAGAAGTATTTTGTAAAGTCGATATAAAATATAAATAAAATAATTAGATTACCGATGACAGTTGACATAGGTTAAACTAAGTTTTCTTCTTCCTCTAAAAGCCTGAATAATTAATTCATTTTAGAATGTTTAAAAACACTTAGTTTACTTAAAAGCAAACGAATAAATTTTTAATCATTTATTGAGCGTGCTTATTTAAAAAAACAGCTTACAAGGAATCCGCCTCCACCGGGTTTTGTATCTCTACTTGAAGCACTTCTTGCGACGGGTTTATTCTTCACTGCAGCTGATACACCGTCAATCGTAATGGCTGAGCTCAGTGTTGACGTCTTCGAATCATATGCCTCATCTCCCGAAGGCCGCTCATTACTTCCATTGCCCATCCATTGGCTACTCCCATCTTCATTAGCTTTATTCGTCGATGCTGAACGCACCAGTGAAGTTCTAGATGTATATCGACGCCTCCAGAACCATGGCGAAGATTTCGGTTTAAGTTCCATATCATTTGAAGGTGGTGCAAGAAGAGTAGTTGTCTTGGTGACATGCATTGAGCTGCTCATTTCATTCTCAATATGATCTAGACGAGCGGAAGTTCGGATTTCCTTTGAAGAGGCATTAGTTGAATTGTGGGCATGTAGGGTGGAAGATCGAGCACGGATTATGTCGGCAGAAGATGTCGTGATGACCCTCTGTTCACTTAAGATTGTCCGTAAGGTTATTGTACTAGTACTTCGGTTGTGGGTTGTTAATTGTGACATTTTGGACTATAAGATGTAAACATATCTCAAAAGTACTAGTACAGTAACCCATCCAGCATAAGGATTCAGTTTTATGGGAATTGAGAGTCCATAAGAGAAGTAAGAAAGTATATGAAGAATCGATATTATCTTAGCGAATACGATATTAAATAAGAAAGTTATACAAGTATAAACGGTATCAGTGTGGTGAAAAATCAGTTTATATCATTACAGCTAGTAAAAGAAAAGCTTATTGCTATTGATGTATTATCAATGCGTAACAATACTTTAATAATCTCAACGCTTCAACATTATTGACTTGGGACTTGCATTCGCAACCCAATATGAATTAAAAAGAACAAATAGCTGATCAAAATTGTTTTTCTTTTAATTTTAAGTACGAAATAAAGTTTTTAACTTATCAATTGTCTAGACAGTGTTTGGGGAAAAAATTAGCTGGGCAAACTTGCATTATTATCGATTTTTATTGGCAAGGCTCATTTCATATGACCAACGATCTTAAATACTCAAGAACTCAAACGCCATTGTACATTATGCATTTAATTGATTGAAAAATCGAGAGGGGGGGGGGGGGGTGGAGGATTAGTAACAAAACATTTTTCAAGCTAAATTAAAACGCAAATCAAAAGGATGCATGACTTCTCGACACCCTCATTTTTTTCTCAACTTTCGTACAATTTCTTTTACATTGATTAACCCACATGGTACCAAGGTTAATATGTGCCTGCATTTCCATAGATTGTTAAAGATTCGGAACTTTTGATTTCCTTACTTTTCTTGGAACATTTATTTATATCAAATGGCAGGCGTTTTGATGGTTGTCATTAGCCCTTTAATTGACTTCAGGCTTCTCGGAGAGGGAAAGGAACATCAAAGTGAAAAAAAGTCGAGAGAAGGGGGGCTGGGGAACAGAAGAGTGTCTCAAAGACGAAGGTAGAAAATTTAGAAAAAAATGTGATATGAGTACTGTGGAAGTAGTCGAATATGACATACAGTGGGGTCAGAAGTCAACTGCCGGTCCATGTGGTGCACCCTGGGCAACGTATACTCATACCGGCAGTCGACTCAGTGAGAAGAAGATTTTGTCCAACGCTCATAATATGGCCACGTGGTTTAGAGAACTTGGAAAAAATTGTTTCCACCAAAGCTGAATTATTTACTAAAGCAAATCAAACCTTTTCAACTTTATTTACTTTCTACTTGAACTAGCTCATTATTTCAAAGCGTTGGGATCATTTAAATGAGTAAATAGATATAAATACAAGTTGTAGTTATAAGGTGAAAAGTATGACTAACATAAAACACTTGTGCACTTTTCCCTGATGGAATCAGGGAACTCCCCTTAACTGAGATATAGTTAACACAGTTTATAATTAATGGAAACTTGTGTCTTCCATCCTCTTGTTTGAAATATTGTCTTATAGACTGTAAACAAGTCAACTTTTAACTGAAAAGTTTATTCTAGGAGGAGGGTTGGGGTTGGGGTGGGAAGGATCCACTTAAAACCCTTAAACCCTGATTTAAATAACAGATCTTTGCCTGTTAAAGTAGTTAAACTTAGCCAAAATATAAACAAAACTGGAATTGAAAATATTTTCGGCGTAAATATTTAGTCGGCGTCGGTGGCGCGCTAAGAATTAGTTGACAGTGGTAAATCGGGGCGATGGAAGTGAAATTTGGCACTCTGCATTCAGAGCAAAAAAGTTTGACCTTCAGGTCTTTTATTAAATAAATTGTGTTTAGAGCGTGTTAACAATTTGTGCCATATTTTGAAAATGCGCTGGTAACTCGAATATATCTACTCCGGATGGGTTCAAGAATATTATTATTATATCAAATGGCAGGGGTTTTGATTATTATCATAAGCCCTTTAGTTGACTTCAGTCTTCACAGAGGGGAAGGAACACCATAGTGTAAAAAATTCAAGAGGGGGGGGGGGAACAGAAGAGTGTATCAAAGACGAAGGTAGATAAGGTGGAAAAAAGGTAGGATGAGTACTGTGAAAGTAGTCGAATATGATATGCAGTGGGGTCATGTTAGTTTGAAGTCAACTGCCAGGTAACAGACTTTTTTGCCGTATGAGTATACGTTGCCCGGGGTGCACCACGTGGAGGTAAGTCTATCACACGCCCCGGGTTCAAGAATATAAGAATACGACGAAGCTTGTAGGCTTGTACTAGTATATTTGATTGGCACTCATAAAAAACGGGTCAACAAGAATTTCTTCCTTGTGGTGTCTGGAATCTTTTCGTTGGACCTAGTGATAAAATCACCTAAAGACACGACGGATTGAACATAATTACCAAGTATGACTTTCTAACTAGCCATGACTGGAATATTATAATACAAATTTTCGACAAAATTGCGCATTTTCAGAGGATTCTTCTGCGATTTTTGCAGATTGTTTCAAGCATTTTGCACCACTTAACCTATATGATTCATTTTGAAACAATCTTGATTCGTAAATGGATTAGTACTTAAAAATTCGAATTCAAAGACCCAATTAAGAAGGAATCTTGATACTACAAAGTATCCACGCTATCTTACACTGCGATCTAATGGCACAGTTTTTATTTGTCTTCTCATGAGTGGAAATAGACCGGGTTAAAAGGATAATAAGAATTTAGAGAACAAGCTGAAATTATTTAAATCAAAACTCGATACTTTAGTAAACACGTCTTTATTATATCAATAAGGCAGATTGTCTGGAAGTTACTCGCTGGGGAGGAAGTTTCTGGTCACATAACCGCCTTGCCTTTTAATTTTTCGTCATATGACAAAGAATTTATTAGCCATTTCATTTATTTACCGAAGACAAAAGAAAATTTATTTTTAACGAGAATGTGAACATCAAGATATCAAGTCTTTACGAATTCCCAGGCTATAGTGATTTATTATGAAAACTAAAAGTATCCATTAAATAATTGAATCATTTTTAACTTACAAATCTAAGTAAATCAATTTGAAATAGAAGCGAATGACCCTCCTTTTAAGAGACATAGGTTTAAAATTTAGTTAAGCGAACCGAAGGTCGAACCTTAATTATGCAGATTCGTAAAAAAGGAAAGATTTTATTCGAGGGAAGTTCGATTCTGTTGTTCCAATGCTGTGGGAATTCGAGACACTGTAAGCCTATGCATCAACGAAGAACAAAATGTTTTTGTTGTCTGAAGAATTTGAGGGTACTTGTAGATGCATATCACGAGGAATGCTTCTAACTGTGTGCAAATAAATTCAACGGAAAAAAATCATATTGAGAGTAAAAATAAGAGCAAATTTGAAGATCATATATTATTTTTACATTTATATCATATCTATTTATTTTAAAAATCAATTTTGCAACTATTTTTAAACTCTACATTTGATGAAGGCATTAGCAGTGTTACCATTGTAACAATATCAAATTTAATATTACTTTCACACTTAACAACTATTTCCAAGGAAATGCTTTACCCGTCGTTTGTCTACTTAAACTCCCTAAATAGATTAACTGAAGAGTTTGACTTTCCAAATATAATGTGGCTGCCTGCATACATTCAAGCTGACTGGGACTCTGACCAATATCGGTTTAAGCAACTCAACCTCCTATTGGCTGAATTAAGGGTGCGTGATACCAGGTGCAGAAAATGGTTTTCTTAACTCTTTAACACCCTGAGAACCGTACAGTCCTCTTTCAAAGTAAGCCCCATTGGTACTAGACTCACAACGAAAGGCGCTATTGTCGCTGGGAACATATTCCATACGCCCATAGGCTTCGTCTGACACCACCAAAACACTTATATTTCTGGAATCAGTTTGCAAGAATAATGCCATTTTCGCAATCATATAGGAAAATCACCATATTTGAGGAGAGGAATTTTGCAAATGAACTAATCTGAGGTGAGTGACCTGACAAGACTGAAGCGGCATTTTCCCAATTACTTCTGCCTACTGCTGAAGAACTTGCATTTGTAAAAATGGTCATAGGCGACGTGAGAATTTTGGAAGATTGTGAAGCAGCCATTTTTAAAGACTATTGCTATAAGTGTGTAGATGATTGCGTTGCAGCTTTGAAACTATCCAAATACTCGCTTTGGCAAAGTGTGTCTAGTTCTGCTGTCAATTCTATAGTTATCGTTGGAATCACAGGTGCCACGGATTAAAAAGAGAAATTTACGTCAGAGTGTGGTAAATCCAAAAATTTTTATTAATCAAATGAAGGAATTAGTTGAGAATAATGGTTATAATTATTCCTTCAACGTCCAGAGATCATAATACTATTAGATTAATTGCAGTCTAAGGTTCAATTTATTGTCAAGTTATCAGGAGAGGGGGGAGGGATATTCGACGTCATTGGCGATTATGGACGCGAGATATAGAAACCTGCTGGAATTGATTGTCTAAGATGAACTACAAATACCGCGGTCATGAGAATCGTTTATTGAATTCTAATCTAATTTCAAAAATCAATTCGGTTAATACTTATTTATGTCATGAATTCATATCCACCCAACTAACCTTCAGTAATCATATTTTTTGTTTTGCACCGATTTAACATTTGTCATTTCATTTGTAATGGACAATGGGCAGATTACGTTTACAACTTTAGATAGGAGGGGGGGGGGGATTTCTCATCATTGCATTGTGGCACATTTAAACCCCAGTACAGGTTTGATGACAACCAGGTTTGTTAATTTATCTCGTGAATCTTGTTACTCATTAGAGCAATACATTGAGAAAACTCTTCTGAGCCATTCTACGTTCAACTACACAAGTTTTAGAAGATATAAATGAATTTGTACCCAAATTAAATATGCAATTAAATAAATCAATCAACAGGTTCTGAATATTGTGACTATGAACTGACCAGGTAAACCACAAACCAAATCCTGTAAATTGAGATTTAAAGCAATTGGATATCGCGGAATAAATTACGATGCTAATGAGGATTTAGACAACCTAATGCTAACGTTACTCTATTAGACTAATTAATTAATCATTTCGACCTGATCGAATCCTAT